GGAAAAAATCAGCCAATAGACCAGACACAATTTGCCAGGATTAACCCCTGGCAAGCTGTCAGATGCTTTATTTATCTTAGGCTACGTCTAGACTACATGCCTCTGGCGACAGAGGCATGTACATGAGGCTACCAGGCATAGGAAAATGAAGCGGCGATTTAAATAATCGCCGCTTCATTTAAATTTACATGGCTGCCGCGCTGAGCCGACAAACAGCTGATCAGCTGTTTGTCGGCTCAGCGCGGCAGCCATGTAAATTTAAATGAAGCGGCGATTATTTAAATCGCCGCTTCATTTTCCTATGCCTGGTAGCCTCATGTACATGCCTCTGTCGCCAGAGGCATGTAGTCTAGACGTAGCCTAAGATAAATAAAGCATCTGACAGCTTGCCAGGGGTTAATCCTGGCAAATTGTGTCTGGTCTATTGGCTGCTTATTGCCTACCTTGGTCTAGAGCTTCCACTCTGGATGTGTTTGCTTAAATGCATTTAGTAGTTCAATGTTCTCTGTGAAGGCAGAGTTAAATCAAATGTTTTTAAAAAGGCTTTACAATGGCAATAAGCTGAATTAAACTTCAGTTTTCTCTATGGGCCATAAACATCTGTCTGAGAAAAATGCTCTGACTTACACTACTTCAAACTCATTAAAAGGGAGAAATTGCTGAATCAAGGTTTGTTTGATACCAGGTCAGCTTTTCCAAAGATGAGATTTTTAAGATGGGTTTTAGAAATAAAGTGCAATGTTGTAGCAAAATCAGCTGTTTTCTTTAACTGCATGAGCGCTGCCTAACAAACATGTCAAAATGCATCTTGGAAATGCTGAGGTGAGAACATTCTACAGGAGGAACACCAGCTTTTCAGAGTAATATTTCATTTTTCAGCCTCAGGAAAGGTGAAGAGGCAACTGATACCCCTGCCCTGAGGAATTCACAATCAACGTTGATACCTACAAACCACAGAAATAGAGCACAAATCTATCTATATATTTTTGAAATGTGAATCTGTCTGTAAGTCTGTTTGTTCAAGAATTCCTCCTAAATGGTAAGAGCTACGAACACCACATTTGGTATGAACTTCCTCTTATCCTAATTTAAAGCAAGGTCAGGGTTTGATTGTGCCAGGAAAATGGGATGTGCCTGGAATCTGAATGTTTTCCATACCATGAAAAGGGAGGGGGACTGATAGGAGGGATAGTCATTCAGTGACCACAGGGAATGGCTGCACCAGGAACAAGGTGGCCAGCTGGGGATTGGGGCTTTCCACATTACTGGCCACCTGCTATGGGTAAGTGGCCCCCCCTTTCTCCAAACTACCCCCCGCCATGGCCCTTAGCTTCAGCAGCAGATGGGGAGTAGGGAGGAACCTCACCAGCCATTGGCCAAACTGCTGTGCCCACCGCCTGGAACCACCCCCTCAAGGAGAGGCTGGGGGGGCGGGGGAGAAAGAACTGCAGCCTGACTCCACCTCCCCTATGAGGAGATGTTGGGGGAGGGCCAAGAACCATGGTCTGACCCCAGCCCCGTCATGAAGAGATGCTGGGAGGGGGGCTGGGCAACCAAGAACTCTCCCGTTAGGAGTCACTGGGGATGGAGGGGGCAGAGACTGCGGCTCAGCCTCTCACCCCATGAGGAGATGCTTTGGGGGAGCCAGGCCGGATGGCCAGTCAGGAAAGCCACCCCAGGAACCACCAGCCAGGGGGCTGGGCAGTGCACCCCAAACCCTCAGCAGTAACCGCCCTCACTACCATGGGCAGGGTTCCTCTCAGTACTACATACTCTACAGACTGCGTTCCAGAAATGGCACAAGACTCCCATCTGCATTGTAAGAGTGTTGTACTTTGTCCTGAGAGCTCTCCAGTGTTCATACATAGTGACCTAAGAATTCTCCAAATTGAATTCCTTTGGGTATTAATTTGTCTTCTATACACATCAGTAAGTGAGCTCTTATTTACTGATGCTATGAAATTCCCTTGTAGAAAGGGATACATAGATGCAGCATGTGTTGTACAACAAAATGCAAAGCTTTTTCACAGTTAGCTCAACTCTACCCTGGACTGTGTGGACATGTATCAGAAAAAAAATTGTATATATTGATCCATTAGGGATTTTAGAATATTTGAGGGGAGTGGGGATGGGTGGATAGATAAAAGCAAGTTCTGTATTATTGCAAGTTCTGTATTATTATTAGTCCCTGGCGAGCCCCCACCTCTATGTTTACCTGTACTTCTGCAGGTATTAGACGATCGCAGCTCTCATTGGCCGCAAATCACCATTCGCAGCCAATGCAAGAGGTAGGAAGTAGCATCCCAGGCCGCACCACTTCCTGCTGCTCGCATTGGCTGCAAATGGTGATTTGCGGTCAATGAGAGCTGTGATCGTCCGATACCTGGAGAGGTGCAGGTAAATGTAGTGGTGGAGGCCGCCAGGGACTACCCCGTGGGCTGCTGGTTTTTTATTGCCCATCCCTGTCCAAGACCCATATTCAATTGCCTTTGCTCTCTGGTCTCCCTATTTGGTAAATAAATCTGTAAACATTTTCTTAGAAATGTTTTTTCTATTAACCTTTTTGCACCCGGACCAAAATATTAACATTTTTCTTGAAAATCCACACCACAGCTCTAATGTCATAATTCAGCTTCCATCTCCTCCTCAACTCTATTACTAAATTACTGGAGCATTTCTGCTATGTGACATGTCTTAAGTCCTGTGTTTCCAGAGGTATTTAAAACAAGACTGGAGAAAGCACTAGCAATCAAGCACTGGCTGAGAGGATAGATTTGGTCAATTTAAAAGGATTTTTCACTAGCCTGTGATTCTCTCAAGCATGTCATAATGGGTATGCCTATAAGGCAAATCTGATTAACTTTTTTCAGAACAGTAAAAATGACCAGAAAATGTTATGACCCAGAGAACATTTCTGTGGCAGAGTAATCAACCCACAAAAACAGGGCTTTATACTGGGAACAGATTTCAGCCAGGGCAATATTGCTGACACAGAGTGATATCCTTATAATAAACATTTACATTACCTTACTTGATGATTTTCAGTCTTTGGTTTATGTGAACAAGAAATCTGTTCTTTCTAAAAAGTAAAGAAAGATATTATTTACTATTTGTTTTCATTCATCCTATACTTAGATTATATAATGCAGCCTTTCAAAATCAGCAATCACAGAAATACAATATTAACAGGCAGATCATATGCTTTTGTAATTTAGTGCAATAGCTAGTCTGAGTATTCTAGCATATAAAAAACAAAGCAAAAAGCTACAGATGAAGAGATCCTCATTAACAGTCACCTTCTGATATATACCTGTAGCAATTCAGCTCTTATGTGTATGAAATATCATTTTGATCAGTGCCAGTACCAAGCTAATTTTAAAACTACCGAAATTTGGAAATAGTCTTATAAAACAGATATACATTTTTCTGGATTTTAATGAACTTTTGTGAAAGTTACTTTGAACGATTTTACAATCCTGAAATAAATGAAGGAAAAATAAAAAGCACGCTTTTGCTCTTAAGTCCATTTTACTCCTAAAATGAAGATTTCATATATTAAAGTATTCTATGATGCCTTGCTTTGCAAGTCACTTTTTTGTTACATTAAACATTTCATTTAACTGCCTAAAATCTGCAGTTTTGCTTTTCTGTGCTAGAATGTCACTGAACTTATACATCTCTACTTAGTTCCTGGCCACTCACCTCTATAGGAAGAGAATGGCTTTTAGTCATACAGAAAACCCTCTTGTTTTAGTTCCTTCTGTGTCTCTAAATATCTAGCTAATCCACACAAAAGCATTCCAAAATAATAAATCTAATTCACGCTAATTGTAACAACAACAACAAAGCTAAAGGGATTTCCAACCTCCACAAAACTGGATAAAAAAATCCTAGCGGGATAAAATACCAAAAACTATACCCAGTTTCACAGTTTCTATGTAAATCTTTGGTAATAGGGTATTATAGTTGGAAAGACAACAGATGATGAAAAATAAAATTAATTAAAAATAAAATTGGCAGACTATAAAGCTACATCTAGCTGACTTAACTGAGAAAATTAAATATTCCTGTGAATCTGAAGAAGTGGGTTATGTGCATAAAAGCTCATGATACTATCTACATTGTTACTTTCTGGGGTGCTGCAGGACTATTTGTTGTTTTTAAAGTTTTTTTCATTGTATTTTATCTTTGTTTTACATTTAATTTCATTTCCATTATTAGTAGGCAAATAACTAGCAAAATGCACCGGCCAAGCACCTTGCCCAGGGACTTGACAGTATCTTCATAAATCTCTCCCTTGGATTCTGCCTTGCAAATCCAAGCTCTTTTCCAGGTCTCTTTGGCCTAGCACTTATCCATCCTTGTCTCTCTTTCTATTACTTCCCTGTTAGCATTGAGGCTCACATTGCTATCTGCTTCTCTCACAAGTATCTTCACATCTTCTTCCATACTATCCCTAATGTATGAAACATCCTTTCTGAACTAGTTTGCAAACCCATGTTTACTTCCCTCCTGAAGACCCTCTTCTATCATGATGCCTCTAAAAAAAGACTTGGCTACAATTTGGGCACCTGGCTAGAAAAAACATAGCCTTACAAAAATTAACTGCAGCCCCAAGATCTGGCCAATTAACTCCTTGACCACATATACATGCTATGCCAATTTCCTTTTCCCTGCTATTTTTTAAGATTATGAGGGGAAGTGGACATATTTTACTTTGTTTTCCCAAAGTCCATTAAATTCAGACTAAAATGAATCTGTTTTCCAAAACTATTCTTGGAGTAGATAACCTTTATCAGTACCCCCTCACCAGAATATATTGTTATGTGGCGTATTGTAAAAAAAATGCTAAGGAAGGACTGCTCTTGAGATAATTATGAAAAATAATCAGCCTTACTATGATCCTCTCTTCTCTTTGTTTCCACAGTAAACCAAGTATTTCATCCCTTCTCTTGGCCTGAGAGAAAACATATTTACCATTTTAAGTTCAGAGAAATTTTAACTCAACTGCATCTCCCAGCTTCAGATTAAACCTTCAATTTCTCAATAGAGCAGAAAGCTAGAATAAAATTGTATCAATCACTTAGGAGATAACTGCTTAATGAATAAAGTATTTCATAGCATTTTTCCATGATCCAGAAAACTCAGCATTTTGAGATCAGACTTTGTGTTCCTACAATTATTCAGGGATATCTAAAGAAAACTGCTGGTCTCTTGATCCAAGATGAGTCACTCCAAGTGTAGAAGTAAACACATTTACAAACAAAAGTTAGCAAACAATACTCCCTATGTCTCTACAAGACTGAAAAATAAGGATTATTTCAAATTCCCATCCAAAATAACCCATACCAAACCTGTTTAGCTTGAGAGATGTAACAGGTCACATCCAAGGCAGAAGACAACTTTCACTGTGACAATACACTGTACTTCTTTGGTATAAGCCCGGGATTGGCAACCTTTTCAAACCACAGAGCCAAACAACATCAAAATTCAGAACAAGTCATCAACAAGAGTCGTATAAGAATGTCCATTTGTATGACTGAAAATATACAACTATAATATTACTGATAATTGATATGATGATTAATAATAGCATAAATGAAATATTGTACTCACAGACTTTATTTAATAGGACTTCCGCTGCTGCATCTTTTCGCACATTTCTTTGACATTTATATCATAACTGGTCAAATTTAGGTTCACACATACACATTCAAGCAACATGAGTAATTTCACTTTTTTTAAATTTTGAATTTTTCATTTTAATTTAAAAAGTTGCATGTATTTTGGAAATGACATAAAAAACATATTTGGTTCCATACTGAACCGTATTTGGCTTGAGACCCATAGGTTGTAAGCAATTCTCTCCCATTCTAAGGAAGTGTTTTAAAAAGTAAGCAAGAGAAACCCTGGCTCCACTGATGTCCTGCAAGTCTCCCAGTGATCTCCATTTCATCTAGAGTAGTGAAACATGCAGCACTTTTTGCGTATTTTTAATTAACAGTCTTGGCTCTTCTAAAGTGCAAAAAGGTAAGTTCATGTCCCAGAACTTGTTAAAACCATTTTCTCTCTAAAATACCAGCTGCAGAAGTAGAGAAATGTAATGAACAGTGCAACATTTCTATTCTGATCAGTTTAATATTTGGAGTTCTAGGCTCCCATATAAATCAAAATACTTCTAAACACACAGTAATCAAATGCTATTGAACTTTTGCTTGCTGAAACTGAAGAACAGATTTTAAGCTTCAGATATGGGGGGAGGGGAGTAGGAACAGTTTAAGATGGGCAAGAAGCATATTAAACTGTTCTGAGAAATTCCTAGCCATTTATGTTATGAAACAGACATTCCAATAAGTATTCTGGGAAATCACCACCACTGATGCCAGACAAGAACAAACTGCAGAATGAGAATAATACCAAAGAGTTCTCACTTCATAACCACTTTTGGCCAGCTTAAAATCCAATTTGTACAAAACTAAGGAACTGAAAATTGATTTGAAAACCTCTTTATTCAGTGTCCATGTCATTTCCTATTTCTTTCAATAACGGAGCTAAGACTCAAGGTTTTGTAAATATCTGAATATTAAACAAACCAGTATTTCATCTACTGTGTCTAATCATTAGTAAAAATATGACTCAGAAATCTACTCTCCGTTAACCAAGTAGCTAATGTTAAACAGAGCAAGGCATTTTTCAGAAAAAAAACAAAGCAAAATAGAAAATCTAGATATTGGAGCAGAGTAAGGTGAAATAGGAATAAGCATCACTGGAGGTGCTTAACCAGCAAAACCAAGATGCTTACTGTGTTAATTTAGGGTTTAAACATAGGAATACATTAGCACTATCACATGGGATTGAAACGGAGACAAGGGATTCCTTCCAAGAAAGGGAAGAGGATGCTCAAAATTATTTAAGGGATCATTTAGGGTAAAGGTTCAGAACCTTTTGCTTTCTGAGGATCTCCTCAACAAAACTCCATGGCCCATCTGTGCTACAGCAAATGTTTAACTGCATATAAAAATCAGGGCCAGCAACAGGGGATAGTAAACAGGGCAACTGTCCGGGGACACCATGCCTTTTTTGGCACATGGGGGAGTTGTGGGAAAGCACTACTGGACTATCAAACACAAGAGTGCTTTACTCTGGGGGCCCACTGCAAAGCTGGTGGATTAGCTAGATTGAGTTTAAAGCATCTCTAACTTGGGGAAGAGGGTTGTTCTCTGTGGCCTGTAGGGGTTAGGAAGCAACAGCCAAATAAAAGCCAGAATGAACTGTGAAACGAAGACAGACCCATAGCCTCTGCCAGAATATTAATACCCAGCTGCCTAAAGAAAACTCCTGAAGCCAGCTCAGATTCTTTTGTCTAACCACAATTTCCTCTGCACAATTTGAGGTTTCTGCTTATATAATTTCCAGCCCTTAAAAAAAGTCACTTGCTCAACATACCGCTTCAAATTTTAACCAACTTTAAACCTAGCCGAATACGTTACCACTGATTTATACAAACTTTTTTTTTTTTTTTTTTTTTTTAAATACAGCAGATAAGAAAAGATCCAAGACTAAAACTAGTCCATTTTGGGGGAACGGATGCCCTAATGTAACACCTACGTCTTGGAATTTGGACTTACATTTTATTATTTATTTTCCTTTACTAGAAAGGAAAGCTAAATATACGAGGCTGTAAAAAAAAGAGAGGGACCTCAGTATACACACACAAAAGGGATTGTATTGCTATGCAGCAGCCAGGTTAGGTGAAATAAAAACCTAGATGGTAGCTGAGTTCAATTCCCTTTCCCCCACAGGCAGCTTTATGAACAAAGAGAATATTAAATAAGAGTAAGCCAATTCTGTTCAAGTTTAGCCGTTAAATCTGAACCTGCTGGGACAAAACACAATGGCCCAGCACAGGGGTAGGCAATAATTTTTTAGGGGGGCATTCCAAGAATTTGGGAAATGGTCAAGGGCTGTACTTTTCTGTGATATTAATGGAGGATGTGTGGGGTCTGGGATGCAAGTTCAGTACAGAAGGAAGCTCTGGGTACAGGTTTGGGGTCCAGGAGGGGATGTGGAGCCTGGAGAGAGTTTGGGTAAAGGACAGGGTTGTGACCTGGGGCAGAGGATTGGAGTGTTTGGGAAGGTGCAGGGACAGGTGTGAAGTATGGTTGTAGGAAAGGATGCAGAAGATCTTGGTGAGGGATATATGAGAAGGAGAATGGTCTGGGAGGGAGCAAGGTCTGAGAGTGGATGCAGAGGGTTTGGGTTGTGACCTGGGGCAGGAAGTTGGGAGTGCATGAGAGGATGCCAGATGCAGACTGGCTGGGAGGCCCTAACTGGCCTGCAGCACAGCAGGACCGTCAGGCAGGCTTCCTGCCTACTGTGCCCCTTCATGCCTCTAAAAGCAACCAGCTGCTGGGGCCATCTTGTGCATCTCTTTGCGACATGCCACTGGGGTGTGTGTGTTCCCACATGCTACACACATCTGCGAGCATGGCCCAGAGAACTGTCAGGATTGTGCTATGGGTGCGGGAGGGAAGGGCAGGGAGCCTACACTGGCACTCTGATCCCACAACCCCCACCCTGCAAGGCTGGCTTCCCACTCCAGGAGCACGGGGCACCCCAAGCCTCACGGGTCAGATCCAGCTCATGGTAGGAGGAAGCAGCTCCCTGCACTGCCACTCCTCTTCCCCCAGCTGGGGAAATGGCAGCACAAGAAACTGCTCAGTTGGAGGCTTTTTCCCACTGCTCCCATTGGCTGGAATCCCAGCCAGACTCCCCCCCACCCTCAGCCCCTCCTGCACTCTACCTCCCAGCCAGACCCTATACCCCCAGCCTGCTCCTGCGCCCATTTTGTTGTTATGAGTGGTTGGTTGGTGGTCCACAGAAAGGTTTGTGTTGTGCAGGGTGGGCCGCAGGTCAAAAAGTTTGAGAACCACTGCTCTAAGTGAATACATTCTTGATGTGATCTACAGCACTATCAAAGTATGCAACGGTAACATGCAGACCTATAGCACTAATTCAGAGATGAGGTAGAAAACTGCAGTCTGGGGCCAATAACGAAAGAGAAGGAGTGACCAGACTAAACCGTATTACTTATCAATATTCCTGATCTACTCAAATAGGTTAAGTTTTCTTATGTTAGACTGATTCCCTTAGACCTGCAGTGCTTGTAATTTCTTAGATAATTTGGCAATTCTCTACAAACACTATGAGAATAAATGAATTGCATATTAATCCAGTGCAATACATATTTATTAAAAGATACAAGCTATGTTACTGTAAACATTACTTCAACTTCATTTACATTAACTGGCTATTTAAACAATGCATTTCACTGTGAGTTTCTGAAATTACAATTATATCTTGACTTGATGCTTTTTTGAAAATTCTTACATTATACCTAACTGAGGGAAAAAGTCTCTTCTCAGGCCCCAATGGCAGATCTGACCTTTCATATTTTATGCTTGCAACTGGATGCGGCCTCATAGAGCAAGAACATTATATCCAACTCAAGAACTAGCAGGTGGATTTAAAAGGAAAATTGTACCATTGTCTAATAATTTAAATGCTTGTGAATTGATCTGAAAAAGATTAACTACTGTATTCCTGGATTTATTGGAGGCTTGTACTCTGTCTTGCAGCTGTATAATTTGCTCATTAATGTTTCTCAATTGCACCTACTACTGCAGTTGCACAATCTTGATTTTATCTAGTTGCAGAATTTTTTAAAAATGAACTAAATAATCACTGAAAAAGGACTGCTGCCCTCTGAATCCAATTTCCAAAAGATAAGCCTAATGGGTGCAAATAGATTAAATGCATTGCAGGATTATTAATTGGAAAGAGGAGGATTGCTGAGTTGCAAGAAAGCGATGCAGACCTCAGCACCTTCACACACCTATAGCTGATTGCTTTCTTCTGGCCTATTTCCCAGGCCTAAAATATAAGATTATAAAAAAAAAAAACCTCTCCATGCATTTTACTAAAATAGGGAAAATATACTGTAATTACAGAGTAAGGCTAGTAACCTTATCACAATATTGAATGTTATTTGCCTTTGATCTAGATTCCTGTTAATTGGATCCACACAGTGAACATATGCAATACTAATTTACCATCTATACTGTCGATAAATGCAAAAAAAGTTTATTACATAATTTTCCACAATGGAGTTTCCTGATTTTCCTCTGATTGTGCATCTAGTATTGACTATTGCCAAAGACAGAAGGAGGAAGTAGAGACACCAAGGATCAGATCTAGTCTGGCAATTCCTATAATTCTAAACCTCCTCCCAGCCCCCACACGCTCTCCAGATTTGCACTCCTCCCAGCAGCTTTGGCTTATAATTGTTTTCAGGTTTGTTAACTGTACCTATTAAAGTACCTTGCGTGTGGATATATATCAAAAATATGTAACCAGTCTAAACCTTATTCTGCTTGCACATTATATACTAAGCACACGTTCATGTATTTCAACATTTATTTATATATATTAAACTAAAAAAAATTGCACCAAGCACATATCAGAATCTTTTAATCAGTAAATCTTACCTTCTTAAGATATGTTTCTTTTTCTTCAGCTTTCTGACGTTTGTGAGCTTCCAGGATTATCTGTTCATTATCTAAATAAAATAAAAGCATCAAAGGCTACACAGAAAACTAATGCTAGACAAGCTCTTGAATTATTATTCTGAATAGCTAGTGCTAAGAACTTATACCAATCATGTGATATGGAAGTCTCAGACTCAACTTCTTCGCAGTCATGATAATAGCATCATTACGGAAATGCAGTATGGCCAGTAGCAAGTGGAAGTGACAGGTATCATTGTAGAATTATGAACTAATTCCCAAGACTCGTAAACTTCCTCTGGTTTCATGTTTTGGAAACTGAGTTGAAGAAGTAAATCCTTACACAGGCCCCTATACAGTCAGGTAATACAGGCAGTCCCCGGGTTACGTACAAGATAGGGACTGTAGGTTTGTTCTTAAGTTGAATCTGTATGTAAGTCGGAACTGGCGTCAGCCGCTGCTGAAACTGATCAGTTTCAACCGAGGCTGAATCTGGATGCCAGTTCTGACTTACATACAGATTCAACTTAAGAAACCCAGGCGTCCCCAAGTCAGCTGCTGCTGAAACTGATCAGCGGCTGATTCCAGGAAGCCTGGGGCAGAGCAACTCTGCCTCGGGCTTCCTGTAGTCAGCCGCTGGGGCG